ATTGACTCTCCCCTGTCGCGTTCACGCTTGGGCCCCCAGCCCACACGGCAGTACTCCTCAGAGAATAGCTCGTCGACGTGCACCCAACATACAGCACGCCGTCCACTGCACCAGCCATGCGAGAGGGCATGGCACCTACTGCTACACATCGTCATCTTCGTAGCCCATGTCGGCCAAGCGCACCTGGCTGATGGCGATGGAGCACCGGTTGAAGGCCGGATAGTGCAGCGCCTTCGTCAGGAAGTCAGGCGGCTGCTCAGTGGTCAGGATGTACCTCAGCGAGAAGTTCCCGCGCTTCACCATGTGCTACAGCCAGGCCTGTCACCGCTCCATGTGCTTGAGGTTGCCCGTCAACCCCATGCCCTCGGCGACTGTGATGGCTGACTTGTTGTCCACCTGGAGGACGGTCGGCTTCCCGACATCTAGCTGCCGGAACTCTGCAAGGAGGAAGCAAAGTCGGCGTCCCTCCTTGCCGGCTTCGATGGCCGCCACGTACTCCAAATCGGTCGACGACAACGTCGCGCACTTGATGCGCTGGCTCGACGAGGAGACTGCGGCCCATCCGTAGACGAACACGTAGCCGCCCGTGCTCGTCCAGTTCTGCTTGTCACAGGCGTTGTCGGCATCCACAGAGCCGACCAGCTCCAGCAACTCAGGTCCACCGCCGAACTCCAGGGCGGTGTCACGCGTATTGGCGAGATAGGCGAGACAGCGGTCGACCTCGCGCCACTGCTGGTCGCTCCTCACCGTGAGGCCACTCCCCAGCTTGCTGCAGGAGAAGGCCATGTCCGGCCTCGTCGTCGTCGCTGCGAACTGCAGCGAGCCGACCTTCTACCGGTACTCCTCCTCCTCCTGTCGCTCCTGTGCTTCCTCGTCGTCGAAGGTGAGCTCGACGCAGGCGTCGACCGAGACCGGCGTCTTCGGGGTGTGCCTCGTGTGCTCCTAATCGATGAAACGCTTACGCAGCTTGTCGGCGTAGCCCTGCTGGTGCAGCCACAGCTTCCCCGCCGATGTGTCGCGGACGATCTTCAGCCCAAGGTACTTCTGCAGCGGCGAGATCTCACGAAACTCGAAGGCGGACTCCAGCAGCCCCTTCAGCTCCTTCAGCATCTCGGTGCTATTGGTGGCGGCGAGCAGGTTGTAGACATAGACCAGCAACCAGCACGCCACGTTGTCCGCGCCGACCTTGAAGTACAACGCCTCGTCGACCTGACTTTTCTCCCACCCGGCGCCGACCAATACATCGTTGATCGCCAAGTACCACAACTGCAGCGACTGCTTCAGGCCGTACAGGCTCTTTAGCAGCTTGCACACCCGGCCGGTTCCGTCGTTGAAGTAGTCTAGCTGGGACATGTAGAGCACTCGGTCGAGCTTGCTCTGCAAGAAGGCGTTCTTCATGTCGAGCTGCATCAGGTTGAGGTTGAGGACGGCGACGATGCTGAGGAAGATCCTCATCGTGACGTAGCTTCCCACCGGCGTGAACGTCTCGTCGTAGTTGGCACCATATATCTGGGTGAAGCCCTTCATGACCAGCCTCGCCTGCTTGCGCTCGACGGTGTCGTTGACGTGGTACTTCGTTGTCAACACCCACCGGTTCTTCATGATGTTCACTCCCGGCGGGCGCTCGACCAGCTCCCCTGTGCCTATGTTGATGAGGCTGCGAATCTCCTCCTCCATGGCGGCCTTCACCGCCGTGCCCTTCCAGCTTGCCAACGCCTCCTTCACCGTCATCGCCAAGATGTCCCAATGGTGCTCGGGGTTGGCATGCATGTCGGGGTCAAGCTCCCGAAACTCCTCATCCTCCTCGGCGTCGTCATACGCCAGGTCGTTGTCGTACGTGTCGTACACCGTGGTGAAGGCAGCAGGGACGAAGAAGTCGGGCGGCCTCCGAAGTAGACCTGACTTCCAAGGTTTAGGCCGAACCACTATCACGTCGCTGTCAATGGACTTCTCCCCTTCGTCACCGGCTTCGCTGCCCTCGTCGTCCTGCTGCAGCTCGGTCGACTTCCTAGTCAACCTCTCCCCTGTAGTCGGCTCCTCCGCCGACTGCCTGGTTGCCGACTGCTCCGTGGTCGCCTTCACTTCTGCCTGCTCCCCTGTCGGGTGCTACCCTACTGGTGTCTTCGTCGTCGGCTTCACCCAAGTTGGCTTTTCCTCCTCGGCCTGAACTCCCTCTTTGACTTGCCGCTCGACACGTCGGACACCGGCGATGCCCTTGGCCGGCGCCGAAGGCGACGTCCCACTACTCCCCTCATCGCCGGAGGCCGACATAGGAGTCAGCCCGTGCAGGTCGGCCACGAGGGGAGGGGCAGGGGTCGTAAGGGGAGGAGGACGGACGACCTCGACGTCCTCACCAGTAAGCTCACCGACCTCGGCGAGCAGAGGCAGCGTCGCCGTCGAGAAGTCGAATGGCGGGGTGGTTGGTGTCCGTCCTGACGCACCTGCTCGTGCTCCGACTTCCACACCTCTAGCGACATATTCTTGTAGAACACCACGTCCG